TGAAATCACTTAACTTCAATTTGCTTGCTGATATGGTTGTTCTATGAATTTCCCTTTCAATTTAGCTAATGTTATATACTGATTTGGATATTAAAACTAACGCACAACTATCATATATGTGTGAGATGCACATCATCAATCGAAAAAAAAATTCTTAAAAAATTTATATAAACTAAACATGAGTTTTTAAACTACGTTTATTCAATATTTTTAATATCAATGTCAGTATTTTTGTTGGTTTAAACCAATAGAAGTAACAAAGCGACAAAATCTACAAGCAAATCGAAGTTGAGTAATTTCACGAAGTGGAAGATGAGTAACTAGATGGGAAAGCATATTAAAGTTGAGTGATCTGATTACACCAAATTAAATTTGAGCGACCTTATGTACCTCCGCTTAAGTTGGGTGATCTGCAGTGCGTTTAATCCAACTTTATTTGCTATTCTTTTTACATTTTTTATTTCAAATATTAAATGTGGATGGAGTTTGTAGGATTATAATAAAACTCTCCTTGTTTCTACTTTAAAATTTGAAACGTGGTTGAAGACCATAGAGTAATAGAATGTAGGGTTTGATTCACGGATCTTAAAATTAGAACTTTACTATTTGTACACTAATTTTTGACACTTTGGTTGACACTAACTTTGTTGTCAAGTGTTATTTGGATAAAAAAAAACAGTTTAAAATTTAAAATGTCCAATAAAATAATGATACGTAACAAAGTGTGAACTAAAGTATATATCATAGTGTTTGGTCTGATTCACGGATCTTAAAATTAGAACTTTGCTATTTGTACCTTATTTTTGACACTTTGATTGACACTTGCTTTGTTGTCAAAGTTCTTAAAATTAAGCGCTTTTCAAATTTGAAATGTGGTGAAGACCAGAGTAGCTAATATTTTACAATCAAAAGTAATGTTACCATAATTAGGTTTGATACAAAGATCTTAAAATAACAATTGTTTTGCACTCAAAATTAATTATATAATAATATTAGGCGTGAAACACAAATCAAAAGTTAAACGCTTGTGTTTGTACTTTAACTAGTCGTGGACCATGATTTCGATTAGTAGTTGTAAATAATAATATTTTGCACTCAAAAGACATAATAATAATAATAATAATAATAATAATAATAATAATAATAATAATAATAATAATAATAATACACAAATCATAAAGATAAAATTATGGGTTAAATGTACTGCAAAAGGTCACCAAATTTTGAGTAGAGGTGCATCTAGATCACTAATATTCAATTTTGATATAATCTAATCATCTATTCAACTTACTTACGTATCTAATAACTCATTTTCAATTTATGCAATCAAATTATTTACATGTGATTTGCTCAAATCAAGTTTATGTATGAATTGTCCT